ATCTAGGTTGGGGGACGCTAGCATAGAAAACACTTGCCAATACATTGGAGAAAAAAAGAAAATGGAAAAAAAAACAGTAGTTTATATATAGTTTGGTAAGGAGACTGGACACATCCCTCCACTTAGTCCCGGCATTAGATATATATATGAAAACACTTACTTGCAGGTACACATTAGTGATATATATTTCACATTTGAATACTACATAGTTTATACACTAAATACTGATTTCATCACCACATACGATGTATACACATACAGATCTATAATTATACACGCACCCCACCCTCTAACATGTAACTCCACAATCACACACACCGTCACACATACACACACCACACATACAATGCCATATATAACGTTCATACCAACCATATACACACATACAAAAATGTACAAGTGCCAAGAAGTAAACATGCATGTCTATAACAGGACACTCTCATTACGTGTAAACTTGTACATCACCCACATGTACCGTCCCATCATTAAGTTAATGAGATTAATTCATACTAAGCTCTCTGTAACTATATGCTCATCGCATATTGAACCCGCTCGATTACAATTCATTAAATTAAAAGAATAAGAACCCTACACTGCATACTCGAGTATGTGGTAAAATTGTACGACATATGTTGTACTGGGTTGTTTTGGGTGGTTTTTTTCGGATAACCCGGCAATATATAGACAGATATACCATAGAAGTTATATCTAAGTTCAAATTCACACGCACGTACATGTGTGTATATGTATAAACATGCATTGCTCACATACCCGAACCATTATATGTGGAAATGGCCAAAATATCAATCATTATATGATTGAACCTGGCAGGTACATTTCAATCATATACACAAAACTAGGAAGGACCTTACACAGCATACTCAGCATATAAAGTAAAATTGTACGACAATATGTTGTAATGGTTTTTGTTTACGGATAACCTACCTTGCAATATATAAACAGATCTACAGATCTACAACGCAGAAGTAACATTTGAATTCAAATTCACAAGCACGCACGTGTGTATATATGAACATACACACACACATATATATATATATATATATGTACATGACTCATGCCTTGACATATTGATATATAGTATACAGAGGTACAGATTATATTATAATTCGAATTCACACGCACGCACAAGTGTACATGTATATGACTCTTGTCTGGAGTGTACAATGGTACAAAGTGTATAGTATGCTATATCCCGTTTACACATGGCAGCAGACGGTCAGAACAAAATAACTAGATAGATATATACATATTGATACAATATGGCAATGGTTGTTTAGAGCTTGTTTACTAAATTATCGATTGTACTTATAGATACATAGCGAGATACAAATCAAAATACATGTACTATCAAAGGACCATTTCAAGTGCGAACGGGTACATCATGTTTTAAATCAACTTCAATTTCTCACTTCAAAAGAAAAAGTATAAACAAGTGCTATGGTGTCTCTTTACTCACATATGGACAGTTTCGAGTCAACACAGGTAGCAGTACAGGTAAAGGTCACGCACTACATGTGTGTGCTGGCCGGTGCACTCACGGATGGTGGTTTACCGTTACTCGATTGGCTCGGGCCAACACTCTGGAATGCTGGTTCAAGGGACTGATTCAGAGGCTGTGATGGCTGGAAAGAGGAAGAACGTTGGGATGCCTGTGCTGAATGTGGTTGGTGATGTTTTAACTGTGAAGATGTGGACGGGTCCAGTGGTTGGGGTGCCTGGGAGGACGACTTAGATGAAGGGCAGGACAGATGGGGCTGCTGAGTTTGGGCGATGATGTCAGTAAGTCGATCTACACAGGTGTGCGACGTTACAAGCGTTTTGGGCGACTCAGATGACGACTTGACGAAGATCCGACCGTCTAATGTCCAATGCGAGTATACACGTTTGCCTTTCCATAACTCACTAAGTCTGTTGACTATACTCTGACGGTATTGAGTGAGGCTCTCTGTAATGAATATTCTATTAGGATTATTCTTCATATTCGTCTTGGCCTTAAACACTTGTTGACGGTCAGTATACCTCAGGAAACGGACATACACAGTTACTTTATTGTTCCGAACCTTACCGAGGGTGTGGCTTCTAGACAGGTCCTTGTCAGATAGTGACACCCCGATCCCCCTACATATATCCAGAAAATAACAGTCTGTAGAGGAATCAAGGCCTCATCTACCCTACTATCCACAGCCAAGTTAAGGACAGAACTATTCGCGAGTGCCTGAGCGACAGCACGATCTACAGCTGGCTTCATGGAGTCGAGTAACAGGTTCGAAACCATAGTTGCGAGGGTGGGAGCCAAAGTTTCAGCGAATTTATTTAGAAATTCGGATGAAAACATGATAGATGTAGCTGCTTCTGATGATATATCAGATGGGTAGAATTCAGAGCGGTCAGGTGTGATAATGGACGTGGGGGGTCTTTTGTTTTCCGTATTCAACTCATCAGTAGGGGAGAGAGGACTACTCATCGTTTTTCGTTTGTGAAGTAAAGAGTCTGGTGGTGACCTTAACGGCGTGGTGAAAACCAAAGCTTCTTCGGAAGTTATAGCTGGAGGTGAGGTAGAGTTAATCGGGCACGTACCTGCATAAATTAATACATGGACGCATAAGACGACATTAATAAATATACAAATAAGTTGAACTTAAATATTGAACAATGTCCACATTCAGATAATTTACTTTGTTATTTGCACATTTATACATTTTTAATATAAAAAAAATGTAAAAAAAAAAAAATCAAACATAGGCAAGGTTTTTTTTTTTTTTTTTTTTACTGACTACATAAACCAGTATTATATCACTGATATATATTTACATTTGCATGGCATTGTTACTATATAGCCTCTTTGAACGCTGGGTCGTTGATGGGACTTTAATTACCATGCATCACGAGACACAATTCTTAGTGTATTAATACAACACTGACCGGAACTACAATATCCAATATAAATAAACATGACGGCTGCTGACATATCGCTGGGGAATGTGAGATTTGACAATGTCATTGTAAATTTATGTGTAAAATTAAAAATTAAAAAAAAAAACATTTTATTACAACGAAAACAAGACCAAGGTCTGCAATATCGTACAAAATGCACATCCGTTGAAATCACCAATGCCGGCAATGGAAACAATTTTAACGCTCATGCAATCTATCAGAAATATCGTCTGTAACACTGCACTGATCAACAGGGGTTCGTTACAAATGTCTGAAATACACATGTTCTATAAACCTACTGTTATGAGTCACAGCACACATAAATATTTCAGACATTTTGTAATGCACCTGTGCTCCGTCGCAAGATCACTCACTTCAAACGCTATCAGTTTCACGCGTCTCGCATCCACGGTTCCTGATTTCTGACGACATGTCAAATAACGAGGCCGTTATAGAATCTACCGACTGATGTCAGGTTCCCATACAATCAACAAATAAATTCACGCCTGGATAGTTCGAATTAACTTCCAAAAATAACTCCCTCGAGGAGGGCAAGGTCGGATTTCCGGTGTTCACTGTATTTGTCCATGCGCGAAATTTGTTCCGGGGGAAAATCGAAACAATTTCAAATCTAACTTTCAGCTCAAAGTTCTATTGATAAACTTAAATCACCCTCATACTCAATGGTATTGATACTGAATTGTGGAATAAAATTGAAGTGTTTGTTAAAATTTCAAAGTACTACTTTGTTCGCCAATCAGCACGCGACAATACGCTGTTCAAGCTATTGAACGAAATTTTGTGGACTGTCGACAGGGCGGGCATTTTTAATTTTAAATATAAATTATAAGTTAAAAAAGTACATAAGAGGCAGAGAAAACGTAAATATAAGTATTGAACTGTTTTTGTATGGTATTTATGATCTATTTGAATAACACAGCTTTGCAAACAAACAACATTATGCGCGCTATGTCATTCAAATAGATCATAAATACCATACAAAAACAGTTCAATGCTTAAGTATATACGTTTGTGAACTTGTATGAATGTCACGATTGTTGTCATTTTGTAAATAACGTATTATTCATGTACTATCATTGTATCATGCTCTCCAATTTGGAGGAAATAAAGATGATGTTAGCATTGTTCAGAACCGCAATCATCTTTCATACTATATTTACAAACGGGGAGGAAGGGGCGCCTCCATTTTTGCCACCGATTTTTTTTGGTGATTTTGATATCAACATTTCAACTGTAAATCTTCATTTTGTGTAACATTAGAATCTCGCTCTGCTCGAGAATCTAACACAACATCAGACAAAGAAAACACTCCCCAACATCAATTTGAAAAATACAATCTGTCTAATCCACTCTGCGATATTCACAATATCACCACGCTTGGATCATATGGTTTGATAAAAAATATGACTTAAACTTATAGACTTGACATTAGATAGTGTGTATTCATATACTACAATCAGAATGAAATGAAAAGAAAAGAAAAAAATGACTAACTGCTATTCCTTTCAGAATTATTGCATCCCCCCTGCTTTTCAATGTGGCGAATTTTAGTTACGGGGAAATGGATGAATCTATTGACTAAACACTCAGGAAAGGGTAAATTTAAGGTCCCTTGAATTTGAAATTACCCATTATATCATAAACTTTCTATTTAAATGTATCTGTTTTTAATTTTAATTCTATACAATTTGTAGTTAATGTTTTTAAAAGTCGGAAAACAGTGGGAAGCCATGGTTAACATTTTTATTTAATATTTAGGCCTTAACATATAACAGCTTTTATTCTTACCTTCTATAATGTCAAAATACAGGTTTTTTGTATATGAAACGTTATTGTTTCGTCATGAAAAATCTTTTTTATTGAATAAGTATTGCTGGATTACTAACCAAATAGTTTTCAAACAAAACAGGTTCTATATGCAATGTTGTACTCCCTAAGTCCTTGGGTGTGTACCGGACGCTAAAAGAATCTCCTAACTGTGTTTAGTATTACTAAAAAGTTTAAGTTAGAGTAATCTCCCTTCCTCGGAAGTTTACAAAGCATGGATGCGACAGGTGGTAAAGAAGATGAAGTGGTAGCAGACAAGATTCCGAGAATGGAGGACCCTAAACCATCTATCAGTGTCCACACGTTTCACGATCAAATCATAGACAATGAATGTTTCTTTCAGGTCATCAAATTAGAAGACAGCTTTCATCTGTGGATTGGAAATTCACCGGCTACGTTTGGCTCGTTTACCGTAGCTCTGCAGACTAAATTTGTGAGTTACTTGCTGTTTTATAATAAGTTCCAATACCAAATACAATATTTTAGCGAGTAAACATACGTAAACATGCCTGCTAACTTTGATATTTTCTTATACATGACGAATTCGAATGGTACATGATTGAAAATTTAAAAAAAGAAAATTTATGAAAATGAATTATAAAAATTAGGAACCATGTGGCAGTGAAAATTAAACATAATCTCTGGGTTATCCTGGAAGATCTATTCCAAAGCAGTTTTTATTTGACCTTTTGTAAATGATCGATTACAAATAGTGCCTTTTTCATAGTGTGTCTAATGTTTTAGATTTTGTACATTATTACCAAATAAATTGATTTTATGTTGAGGTTGTCTCCCTTCTCCCAGTTGTCGGTACTGTCTAATTTTGTTGTTCTTGTTCATAGTTATTTCCTGTGAAACAATGCATGTGTGTACATTTCTAGTCCTACAGAAGGGGAAATCTTCAGGAAGACCATTGCCTAATGTTAAATCAATATGAATTTAAATTACACACAGTCACTTCAACGAGGCCTCTAGATCTTTTGGATTGTTTTATTAACAGTTTACACATTTTTTCTTACTTTGCACACCCATGGGCCAGTCCTACTCCAACAATGTTAGAGGTTTTACACGGCGAAAAACTTTTGACAGGCGCCGCGTAACCTCTAACTGCCCATAGCTGATTTACCCGATGCTGACTATCACATTTTCAAAGTTCGGATTAAGAAAGAGTATATCGTGTTAAANTATAAATCGTGAGTAGACATCGTTGTCATGAACTGTTAACCACTTATGTGAGTTTTTCAAGCCGATTTTGTTCCGCCCGGATTTCGGGCGGAAACTGCATCAAAGAATTAGTGCTTCGGAAATGAGAGGTCGCAGTCGGCAAAATCATATCCGATTTGAAAAAAGGCCGACCAGCGGCCTCTTATGTTATGGGAGTAGGGCCAGTCCCTGTATCAATGACTAATGTTCCTTTTTTTTTGCAGGACAAACTGCCCTCATCAATTCCGCTTCTTGGAGGAACAGATTCACCTAGTAATTCATTAGCTCTTCAGTTAGGTAAGATGTCTTATATATATACGATAAAATCAGCAGGCCAAACTAAATAGTAGCTGTATTTGAAATTTTCATATTTTATTTGCAACTTAACAAAAGCTTTTAAATATGCAAAATATTTTCAAGAAGGGTATATAGACGGACTGTTCCAGGTTACAGACAGGGTGTTTTAGACTAATTTGAAAGTACTTGTATAACATTAGCAAACCACTTCTGAATAGACTTTATAAACTGGAGGGAGATGAGTGAAAAAAAATGGAAGGGGATGAGTGAAAACAACTGAAGGAAAATGAGAATAAATTTTAAAAAAATGGAGGGAAATGAGAGGAAATTAAAAACTAGGGAAATATGAGACATGGTTTTAGCCAGCTATTTTGGAAAAGGGTCCCTGAGCAGGTATTGGGGAAAATATCATCAGTATTTGGCAAAAATTTGGAAATATCATTAGTGTTCCCACATTAACAGGTTTGGGAAAATATATAAGTTTGGAATAAATTAACACATTAATTTTTAGTGTTTTTGCTTATTCAATTTCAAATTTTCGTTATTTATATATTTTTAATGCTCCAGCATAGACGGTAATACTTTGAACTTTCAGTTGCACATATAACGACTGGAAACTTGCATAAACATGTTTCCATTCCAATTGGGAAAATAAAGACTGAAATTGGGAAAACACAGGGTCATATTTCAATTGGGAATGGGTGCCTGTACCGGACCCTATAAAACCATGTGAGAAAATTAAAAACTAGGTAAACATGAGAATATTAAAAACTAGGGAAAAAGGAATGAAAAAAAAGGATTAGGGATACAAGAAAAAATTGAAAACTGGAGGAAAATAACAAAAACATTATATTGTTCTTATTGTCAGTTTACATTTATTCAATCAGTTTACATTTATTCAATCAGTTTACATTTATTCAAGCTGTTTACATTTATGTTTATGCATATACAAAGAATGCTTCTGTTTAACAATTTTAACGTGATATTTTTTTTTGTGAATTTTAGCAAAGAAAACTGGAAAACAAGTATTTGTGAGCTGTAATCTGCCTTTTCATGGACAATTAATGCCACTTATAGAGAAAAGAATATCACAGGAGTTAAACAATCATCCGGAACATTTTTGAGACCAATTGTGAAATTAAACTTATATGATCTTATGCCCGAAAATAGCTTACAACAACCTATCAGATGTGGAAGACAAAGAACATCTCTTTGGAGCCCGGTTAAGTCAATATTCATCTCTCTACATGTGGTGTCTAGACACTGGGTTCACATCGATCCATTAAAATTCAACAATTTTATTATTCATTAATCATTTTCTGCCGGATATAACAGTCAGTTTCATAAAATATCAGTCAAGCATGAGAGATTAAGACGATATTTGAATTTCTAATTAAATATTGTGGTCAAGTCTATACTGATGACATCAAGATCGTTTCTTGATAATTGACTGCACTTGGTTTATTTTTAACTTTCTGTAATATTTTCATTATGTATGTACATGTATATCTCCTTTGTCGTCACTGTCTTGGGGTTATAAAAAATCAAAATGTTAATACTAGTATCTTTCTGAAGTAAATAGGTTTATTATTTCTACAAACATGCTAGGTATCTCATATCTGTTAAGACCTATATGTAGACAGAACTGTCTGTCAATATACTGTAGATTTGTTTGATATCACAAGCATCTGACTACAATAGTACAGTACTTGTGTACTTTCCAGACTATCTCTGGCCCATATATATCACAGATATTTTGAGTCCGACTCCCTCTATGTTTGAGATTAAACCATTATGTTAAGTCTATAGAAGATTTAAGTTTGAGCTAAGCGTTTGGTAGACCCAAAGTGTTGGTGACATTTGGCCCTGGTCCATCTTATATATATGGATACACACAAAGTGTGAACCAGATAGCTATACATGTATGAAGCAATGATACAGGAAATATAGAGACAATATGTCAGTTTGCACGTTAAAAACTTAAAATGTTTCATTAAGATTGAGTTCGACGTACAGTGTTAGGCATACTCAAAGGGTATGTAGAAAACTGAAAAACGGCCTGAGTGTGGGCAGAGACGTATAATAATAATGTATTATACGTCTCTGGTGTGGGGCAGTCCTGTGGCCCTAATGATTGCCCAGCGGAGGATTGAGTACCAACCAAAAGGTTTTAAGCTCACCAAGCAGTTCGTTCAATGCTTTTTATTACTGTGTTTCTGACGTTTTACATTTAATGCCCCTTTTTAATCAAGTGCAAAAAATCAGATCGATCGCGGGAGTGGAGGATATTTAATTTACCCGGGGGAATCTGTGTAATTCACTGTACAATATAGGTACAAGTACAGTATATATTATATATATCATTGTCTCTGTAATAAAATGAACCTATTGCCTGTACTGATAATGGTTTGTTTTGTATGTTATTGGCACCCATTGATATGCGTCAGTGTGTGTTGACCGATGTTTAATGTCACTCAAGCCAGTTATTATTCAATTATCTCTGTGTTTTATAACCCGCGACAGTACTAGTGTACATATAATATATATAGTGGCTAATTTATAACTCGTACCGCGCTAGTAGTACAGGGGAAATAACTCGTACTAGACGCTGGTCTGGCTCGAGTCTTTTAGATACCATCTTCGAAATTCAAGGGATGTATAGAGAGTATATGGATGCCAAGAACAGAACCCTTGGATTTCGAAGATGTCTATAATGTCTAAAATACATATAGATACATTTGAGTCATGGCAGTGTCAGTGTGCTACAATATATATATATGCGTCCAGTCGTAATTATAAGATAGACCGATGGAATTAATAATCGCTAAGCTTTGAATAATTAAAAAGAAAAAGGTGAACTACAATACAAGTACGTCCGTTATATACATTTTAAGCCAGACTGAATTGCCTACATACAATGTGTTTGAAGCTGTCCACTAGGAATTCATTGTGTCACTCGATCCCAGGACAGCCATTTCTAACCAACTAAATCTTGTTGCATTTCGATGTTTCATGAAATCCTACCGAAAATTGTATGGCATGATTTAAAGTAAATAATACATCGAATCGGAGATACTTTATCGAAATATCGAGGACCGTCCTTTCATGTCTCAGTCATAAGTGATCGGGGGGCAATTGGGTTCGACGAATTACAGGAACGGGCAGAAATGGGCAGGAACGGGCAGAAACGGACAGAAACGGGTAGGAACGGGCAGCAATCTATTAATTATTATATACATTAATGAATATATATACTAGATACATTTAAGTATCATTATCGGGTATAAGATATATTTGATAAAAGGATTGCAATTACATGATCGGGGCAGAATCGGACTAAATTATATATGATACCTACATTTATAATATCATATATATTTTTTTATCGGGTATAAGATATATTTGATAAAAGGATTGCAATTACATGATCGGGGCAGAATCGGACAAAATTATATATATATATATATTTATATATTTTTTCGGGTATAAAATATATGTATTAGATATGTTTAAGTATCGTTATCGGGTATAAGGTATATTTGATAAAAAAAAATGCAATTACATGATCGGGGCAGAATCGGACTAAATTATATATGATACCTACATTTATAATATCATATATATTTTTTGCGGGTATAAGATATATTTGATAAAAGGATTGCAATTACATGATCGGTGCAGAATCGGACTAAATTATATATGATACCTACATTTATAATATCATATATATTTTTTGCGGGTATAAGATATATTTGATAAAAGGATTGCAATTACATGATCGGGGCAGAATCGGACAAAATTATATATATATATATTTATATATTTTTTCGGGTATAAAATATATGTATTAGATATGTTTAAGTATCGTTATCGGGTATAAGGTATATTTGATAAAAAAAAATGCAATTACATGATCGGGGCAGAATCGGACAAAATTATATATATATATATATTTATATTTTTTTATCGTGTATAAGATATATATATTAGATATGTTTAAGTATCGTTATCGGGTATAAGGTATATTTGATAAAAGAAGTGCAATTACATGATCGAAGCATAATCGGACTGAAAAATATATATATATTTATGTCGTCATTACTTATGATACATATACTGATATTATTATATATTTTTTATCAGGTATAAGATATATCTGATAAAAAGATTGTAACGAAATAAGAGTATTGTATTGATATGGATCGGGCAGGAACGGGCGACGATTAACAGGAACCGACAGAAACGGGCGACGATTTACAGGAACGAACAGAAACGGGGCAGGATCGGACTTATTTATATATATTTGATTATCCTTATCGGGTATAAGGTATATTTGATAAAAGAATTGCAATTACATGATCGGAGCATAATCGGACTGAAAAATATATATATATTTATGTCGTCATTACTTATGATACCTATATTGATATTATTTTATATTTTTTATAGGGTTTAAGATATATTTGATAAAAAAAAATGCAACGAAATAAGAGTATTGCTTATTGATATGGATCGGGGGAGGATCGGACTCTGTGTTTCCTTCATTCCTTCATTCTCTTTCTTTTAACTTTGTGGTTAATGAGTACAGACATAATGGGGAGACGTGATATTTATCTATTTCTGTATCAGTTCATTGCATTGATCAACAAAAAAATTAACACACCTTGAAACATATTATCGACACTATAAAATGAGACATTCACTATTAAATTATTAGAGTTGAGTTGCATGCAACCGGTAGAGTATCTCATAATCTATCTGAAATGAAATCTAAAATCATAAAATTAAACATCTCTTTTCTAAAACGTATTCGTTTTTTCATATAAACATATACATGCTACTCAAGCAGTTAGAAATATAATAATCAGTCTCACTATATTAATTCTATTCATGTCATAAAATGGTGTTATTAAGATCATATGTATAAATTTAATAGGAAATATTTAGAAAATTTGAATTTACTTTTCAAAAATGTTAGTTATTCAGTTTTGTTAAACATAACAGTATCAATTATATAACAATGCTGGAGAAGAACCTTCAGTTAAATTAGATACTCATATGATATGAAATTCAAAAAGTATATGGATTTTATATGATTCGAAGTCCTTTCAATTACTTGATAAACTCACAGATAGTCTGTTTTGGACAAGCTAGATATAGTTCTCTGACCAATATTATGAAGGATAGACGAGTAGGTTGTCATTAATCAATTCAAAAATTAAATAGATAAATAAAAGGAATTACATTACATCAATCCAGAGTCGTATTTGATTATCCGAAAGCTAAATACTAAATGAAATGAAAACTTGTTGCCTAATTCCGTGTTCAAACTTGATTCGACTCCCAGAGATACTGTAAAACAGTTAACAAATTTAGCCAAATATATTAAACTGAGTAATAAGAAAAGAAAAGACTATGTACCTATATGAAGAGGGATGTCTCTCTACACTATACCAATGGGTACGTGAGTGTGTATTTGTGTGTGTGGGTGTATTTGTGGGGGTGTATATGGGTGTGAATGATTGTATTGTTTATCCTTGTATATATGTTTATTTTGAACTGATGAGCCGTAAGGTTCAAGGTAATAAAGAACTGAACTGATATGGTATACATACACTTTTAATAACCATGAGTTTGTGACACTAAGTAGGAAATAACAGAAATCTGTTATCTGGAGTACGGCTCCATTCTGGACTCGGGCAAATATCCCGGGTCTGTGCCCCCGGGCACTTAACAATCCAAGTTCCTGAAGGTACACTAATAGAATAGAATAGAGGATTTTCCCAAAAATTACTTAGACAGCTAAATTAGAACAGATGTTTAAATAATTTTATTATGCAATGAACGTTATAAACGTATTTACGTACATAGTTATAACAACTATCGATATACATGTATATAATATGTATAAATATAGATTTGTTCCAATATATACTAAAGATACATGCTTGTGAAAAGTAAATCTACTCTTACTAAATACTCGTCGAATTTATTTAATCAAATTTAAGTCTTTAAAAACATCAAGTTATATGAATGCATAACCACGGACTTTATCCAATTCCGTGTACAATATCTAATTTTAATTCTAACACGATTCGTTTGCAACGCGTGTTTTGATTGGATACGGACCATGTTCAAATTAGGGGATAGTACGTTGTTTTGAGTGGCTATCTACTGGCGATTAGAACATGAAATTTGGGTTTGAACTCGAGACCGATAGGTCGAGAGTTTAAACCAAATGTCATGTTCTAATCGCCAGTATAGACACGAAAAACAACGTACTATCCCCATTCTCACACCTTAACAAATATACTACGCTAATATGTTTAGAAACATTGTATTTCCTTGTACAAAAGTACTTTGTGACCTGAACTGGCGACGTGTCATTCTGCAGCGGACTGACCAATCGGAAAGAAGCTTTCAAAAGTCGGTCATTTAGCCCCGCCCATACTGGCGAGCGCTCGATCTGTATGTTGACGAGGCGGAATATTTGGATTGTTCGTGAACGTCCTGTTACGAAAGTTTATACGACACGTTTTGTGTCAATGCATAAGACACATGTGAAATGTTTGATTTGATTTCGGATCTAAATAGATGCCTTCACACGGATGGAAAGAACGTTTCAGTAATATATGGAGGTAAGAACAAGGAATGTGTTCTTTTAATTCATTCAACCAATGCATTTCATCGGTCGTTTCTGTTCTGTTGCTTACTAGCCTTATCAGCGGGATTTCGCTATGAGGCGAGCTTGACACCATATTGTTTTTGTTAGAAACGGGGCGTGGCTTAAGTGCGATGGGAGGAGCTTAACACGATTGATTATTTAGGTGGATTACGATGTCATAACAGCTTTATCTCAGAAGTTAATTTAATAAATTGGTTTAGTTATAAAGATACTAAAAATTGTGGAACTGACTGCGATGAGCAACGTTTTACTTTTACGGGAGAAGGTTTTGAAAAGTTTTAACAATTTGTGACCACTACCTTGCATGTACTATATGGTATAAAATGTACATATATGTCTATTGTCGCTATCACATTGTTGTAGTACAATTGTTGAGGAGAGGGCTTTAATAAGTTGTAAGAACTTGTGCCCAATCCTCTTGTTTGAATTTAGAAGCAATAAAATATGTTTTAATTAGAACGAAAAAAGAACGATTCCCAACCACCTGTACGGACCAAGTCCCGCCTGATATTGAAAGCGAAGTTGATTGGCACACGAGACGTCTCTGACGAGACAGAGCTTACCAGACACATAGGAAATGTTCAAAGGAAATGTGTTCTATTTTGATGCACGTTCATATAAGACCAGAGAATACAAATTTGAAACGTTTTATTGTGGAAAAACGTCTGCGTTGCTGTCCGGTGAGATACCATTGAATAATCTGTTCTTGACGTTTTACAGTTTTGAGTTTAGCTGGTGAATTCATTTTCTCAGCTTCATCAGACAAGATAATCATATATGTGTAATTAACCAATCTAAATTGTCCACTCGGCACGCGACGCCAATATTCAAAAGCCAACAAATTAACCATTTAGCTTATGTTATTACAAAGTGTAATCTTAATGACATAGAAGACGATTTTTATTTTGTTTTAGTTTGCACAAGATATACAGATTTAAGACGGAAGTATTTAAAATATTACTACAGAAATAACCCTAGTGTGTATCTGATAGCGGCAAATAAGCGCCGATCAGATATATGACAGTTTGTATGTGTGTATTGTTCATTCCCCTGTGACAAATGTGGCTTTTGGTACATATGTAAATATCCTGTTTAATATATGTTAACACTGATAAGTCCAAAAAATTAAAGTTAATAAAGAACTAGAACATATGTGTTCACAGGAGGGCGGGGTCACTGATAAGGTGGGGTACTTACCTGTAACGATAATTGGCTCGTGTCGCAAGGTGATTGATGGCTAAGAAATTTGCTGACAGAGTCATCAATGTACGTTTTTGTTAGAATAAGAAGTCTATTGTCTACTATTACGGAATTAGATAATCGGTTTTGACAACATCGGCCTTTGAAAATTGAAACTTAAAACGTTTCACCGTTTTTCTTTCTACGATACATCTACAATTAATATACAGTTTTGTTTTTCTATAACAGATAATGCTTATGTGGCCAAACAATCCAACATATGGACTTCAATATTTATTTACGTAAAACACGTAGATGTGTAGTGGACTACACATCCCTGTATTAAAATATAGAATAATATTTAATTTTTAGACTGATGTCACCTTTTTGAGTTGGAAAATTGCGTATTTTCTTTGAAAGATACCTAGAAGTTTCATTTGATTGAACTGTTAACCGTTCACATCGTCTGCACATCAATAAGTACAAGAACAAAGGATTAATATAATCTTAATGATTATTTTTTTAAGATCGTAAACGTGATGGGATGGTACTCTACACATTAACACCAATTCATTCACTCAAAATATATTCATGCTATTTATTAAGAGTTGAGTATAAGTTATGAAGTTATAGAAATTTGGTTATCATAATGTCATTTCCAATGTTTCATGTGTTATGACATATTTATTATATATGTAATATGTGTATAGATAATTTAGTCCGATTCTGCCCCGATCATGTAATTGCAATCCTTTAATCAAATATATCTTATACCCGATAATGATACTTAAATGTATCTAATATATATATTCATTAATGTATATAATAATTAATAGATTGCTGTGCCCATTTCTGCCCGTTTCTGCCCGTTCCTGTAAATCGTCTAAATGCAGTATGTGTGATAGGACCCTTTTGAGCATTTAGATAACTTCAGTCTTTGAAGGAATGTTGCCAAGCTAGTGTATTCCTACGACGCAACGAGGAATTACACCTCCTTTTACACTGCGTCGATATGGAAACAAATTTGGCTAGCAAATAGAGTCATATGGAGTCACATGACAAACACTGTAAGCCGCTTCGAATTTGAAAGCGACACAATCTCAGCAGATACGACAGGAATGGCTACGGCACGGAAGACCATGGTTCGATTAAAATATTGGCTTTTGTAGGCGAACATTAGCTTTCCGACCAATTGGAAAGAAATATATGTATGATGCTGGGTCAACCGAACCCACATGTGCGCGTAAATGTGCGTATTTGAAATTAACTAGAGTGGTCAAGCTATACTTTGGACCTCTCCCCTGCCAATTTGACACTTTATCGATGTTACTATCTAGGAATCATAAACACGCAGCATCAAATCGAAAGATGGTATATTAACAAGGGAAGTAACTCTAAAGTCATGTAAATATAAAAGAGTGAATATCTAAATTTTAAAAAATACAGCTCAGTAGATCTTTGCTTTGCTTTTATAACAGGTAATGTTACATCCTTTACATAAATGTGAGAGTTAAGCAAAAAACATTCCATCTTTCCAATTTTACAACCTATGATAGAAAAAGCGGAGAAGTGAGATGAAATCATGATAGTTTAATTATGAGGATATTTTGTGTATAGTGGCAGGCCTACATCATCCAGGGCCTCAAAGGTGAGTTAGAGGTAACAGTGGTTTGGGGAAACTGATCATAACATATGAATGCAACAAGATCTATAACATCTGATAACATTTTCGGCTATAGTTTTACTGCTACATGAATACATCTGATGAGACAGATACGAATAATGTGACTTTGAAAGCGATTATTTCTGATTAAAGGATAAGAATATGTCATCAGAGAACATGAAGCCCATTTTCTCGGATAAAATGTAGAAAATATCAATATAATTCTATGAAACTTCACATCAAGTATATATATTTCAAAACCAATAGATATGGGGTCAAACAAAAAATACTACACGTCAGCTCGAAATTAAATAAAATATATATAGCATTTTCATATACAACAAAAAAGGCTACATTCGCGAAAGGTCTCCATAATTTCTGTTTTATATCAAATACCTATCATTCCACTCAAAGGTTGAATTTCGATGATGTAGATGGACTGCTATTATGAATTTTATATAATTATATTTTACTAAATCAATTAATGAAATAATCAATTATGCAATGCTGTTATTTATACATGAACACATTATTAACTAATTAAATTATTTATTTATTCAAGTATTTATTAATCTTTCATTCATCAAGAGTACATTTGACAGCTAAAGGTTTCATATAAATCATGTATACATATACTAAAGACACACCAAACACGTGTTGTTTTCATTGTTGTTTTTGTTTTTCTCTTAAAGCAAAAGGTTGTCGTATGTCCATATCTCATCTCAATGGTGACGAATGCATTATAACGGAACCTTTGATTATAAAAACTCATCCGCACAACCTTTATGAGTCAATACAGCCTATTTTTAATAAGGTTTACAGAAATATATATTGACGTTAAAACATTACAATCATTTTTACATTATACATATATGTATAACTTCTTCGTCAGTTGTCCACATTAATGTTGATTATTCCAGTCGTTCAGGCGTAAATATGGATTAAAGAAATTAATATATTCAAACTGTCGCTGGATAATTGCCTCACGTGTCTGCATTGTTTGTTATTAATATCGTATTGAATCTGCCTTGGGATACGAGCTACAAAGACCTCCATGAACATTTATGTAGATTCTGTCATTTTTTGGTCGATAATTAATAATAAATGGCATGTCATATCAATAGCTATTCTTCTACAAAATCGCTTTTTTCATAAAGCTAAATGTGTGTCCAGAAGTACGATGTTACTTCCGTCAGTTTGTGTCCTTGTTGTGGTCTATTTGATGTTACTTGGAGGTAAGTGGACAATTGATGAGTTTACTGTTATTAAGAAAAAAATGAAAAGGTGATGCTATTTTTGAACTAACGTTTGGACCTTACCTGGAAGGCTTAGGGCGAAGTGATAAGTGGAATGATGTTGATTTGACTCCTTTTTAGAAATTTCAGGAATAAAATGTATCTTTGTAACGTTTACTTTTAAATGTGCGATGGTAAGCATCACATTTTTGTTCAAACACATTTCAGTATGCGCGGTAGCATATCTTGGACAATATGATGGAACGGAAATGTGTAGCACACCATGATCAACGTTTAAAAAATGCATTTGAATCCTTTATATTTACGATCAAAACAGGAAAGAAAAATATTAATTCAACTTTCTTTTTGGTCTAATTCGCTTCAAAATATGTTTTAAACAAACTGCTTTACCAATTGGTGGTAGAGCAGCTGATTTTGCGGAAACAAGATGAATTGTAGTGATTTCTTTGGTTATCAGTTCCATCAGGCGCCGAACGTCAATCGGAAACAATTCGGGAATTTCCGTCATAATTTAAATATCATGTCACGTCATGACTATTCAAATGATTTTACATATAAACTCGAACAATTTCCGACTGGAAAATATTCACGTGAAATTGTTCATGCTGTTTTGGAATCAAGACAGCATTTTAAGGTTGTAAGTTTTATCTACGGACTACAGAAAGAAATGTAAATATGTTACTGTTGCTCAGATATGAGTTGAATCCTTTTCATTTTAATGCTATTAAGAGGTATTTTAAATGTTGATGTTTTTACTGATATTTATAGATAAGTGGATTGCTGAGAGTTTCCTTTCTAGTACTGCGCTGTACAAACCAATATAGTTCAATGATAATGTAGGAAACATATGAAGTTTTTACAAATTACATCGAAGTTAAGTCTATTTTACATTTATCTAATATATTTAACACGATGTGTTTTGGAAAAGCAAACAAGTTTTTGATACTTTTAGTACGAATGGTCTTTCTCAAACGTCCGATGCTTCTGGTTTCACCTCTATGGTTGTTGAGGTTAATGGCGCTTCTCCATTTGCTGTGATGTCTTTGTGATGCCTTTCTATCCAATGATGTTGTCTTTTTTATATTGTCCTTTAGTTTTGATATTTCTATGTGTTTTGAGTAGTGTATTTTTCCTTATACTGTCTAACACTAAAAACTAGAAGATGTAGATAGCATTTTGACAAAAGGTTTTATAATTTAGTTTTTGGCATTCCAAACAAATTACGTTGTAATTGATGACACTGTAGTACACAAATTAACTTTTGTATGATGTAATCAATTCTAGGATCGTCAACAGATGGCACCAGCAGAGAATCTAAAATCCTTAAAAAATGGAAAAGCAGCAGTGACACAGAAGGAACAATAGACAAGGAAAGGGAACGTAGAGATGAAAACATCGCGAATACACATATACGTATTGAAAGGGCTGGAGATTCTAAACAAAATAAGTTAATCAGACGAAAGTCAAAGAAGCAACTGAAACGCAAATATATGAAAAAGGATAATGTAAACCAAATCCATCCTTTACTCGAAGTGAAGGCCCCCTTGGACTACCATACGCTTATCGATTTGTTGAACGCTGGCGTTCGCCAGTCACAACAGCAAGCGTTAAACACTAAAATTCAGTCAATGCCTCTCGTTAACGATCAGAGAGAACCATTCAGGAACAACAAATCACAAAAAGGGAAGAATCACATTGACGTAAACGTATCAACCGAAAATAAACAAGCTGGCAATCGCAATTCAACATCAAAGACTAATTTACAATTACTCCAACTCGGTCCATTTGACACGCCATCAAAACCAACGCCAACAAAGGACGTTACTCCATTCACCCGAACTCAAACATTAATACACGAACATGACAATCGATATTCAACATCAAGGACTAATCTGCAATCATCAGCCCCGGGTCCCTCTGAAAATCCACTCGAGCGAATGTCAACAGGGGATGCTACTCCGACCGCCCGAGCTCAAAAAACAACTCAAGAGCAGAAAGATAAAGCGTCGCATACAGATACTGTGATAACGCCTCTCTATTCAAATGTATCATCCGTTGGTGGACGAATTCGCAATAATGTACTTGTTCCGACAGTTTATACGTCTTTGCAACGCTCTAAGCCATCAATACACCAAGCAGATTCACAGCTAGGTGCAGCAGTATCACAAAATTGTAACAATACACTAGACATAATTACATGTATGTCATCATTTTCATTGAGAGGTTTGTTTTCACTCATGAATCCTACCACAGAAAATCCCCGAAAAGGACAAGAAGCCCAAGTCGATACATTGAAAACGAGACAAGTGATCATGTTGGCAAATATGTTTAATAAATCGCTGTCTCAGACATGGAAATTACTAATACCTCATCCAAAACTTGTAACTGTACTGGAAAGTCAAACCAAAAGCGAAGGTGTATTTGAGACACAAAAAGATGAGGAAACACTAAGGATTTCATCTGCTTCACCTCAATGGTTACTAACGAAACTGAAAAAGAAGAAAGGAAAGGTTTATACAGAAAGTGATCATCGACCGTCTGCCATAGGGATAGGATCATTTGGCGCTCTTGTCCTCGTCACAATCGTCGTCGGTATCATCATCTTAGACAGCCGTTCACTGTACAGAGATATCAGACGTTTGAAACGTAGCATTTATAACTTGTGTAAACCCGTCTACAAACACAAGTTGACTATTTCAACAAGCAATAATAAAGGCGAGAAATGGGCGTATGTTATTCACGAGAGGCAAGTGTGATGTACAAGAAATAGACCGAATCTGCTACAAAGGTTCGAGAGGCCCTTACAGCTGTACGTGATATTTCAGACAGATTGACTATCATCAATAGGAAAGGACAGATATTAAATTGGCGTATTAGGATGGTGTTCATGAGAGGAAAGTGTGATATTTGACCAAAAAAAGACAAAATTCAAACATAAATGGATAGTACAGATGTTGTTAGCATCAGTATTCCAGAAAAGAGAGAAATGGCCGTATGCTTTGTTTACGAGAAGCAAGTGTGATGGACTTAAAACATATGAATAGACAGATTCTACCAGAGATGATGAAGACGGGAAATAAAGCTATTCTGAAAAAGGCTCTTACTTGGGTTTTTCGAAATACAAATGGACAATTTAACCATAAATAAGACAACACGGCAATGAACGTCTGAGGTAAACGAGAGGCAAACGAGATGTATAACAAATAAAGTGACAGGATCTACTTAAAACGATCGAGGCGAGTGAATGTTGTCCACGAGAACCACTTGTATATGGGATTTTTCGACCTTGTCCACCATTAAAAAGAAATGGTAGAAATAGGTGTATGTCATTCACGAAGTGTGGTGTATACAAAATGTAACAAAGAACAAGTGATGATAAAATTGGACCGTGCCCACCAACAACCATACAGGAAAAAACATGGTACTAGTGTGATCGACGAGAATCGTAATCTGTAAGTGGTGTACTTGTACAATCACGACCTTATACACATATCGATATTTCTAGGATTTTCCCTAGAAGACTTGATATCATTCCGCTAGCGAAAAGTAAACGCTAGAGTCGTGATATCCTTTTGGCCCTCGTCACAAAAAAACGGTGATATATACACAAATACTCATGAATATTTGAAATTAAAACAAGAAATATTTACTGGAACCAACTATTTATTACCAGCAAGAAGGCTTTATTCGAAACGTGATCAATAAATTTGGTCCTTCGAGCATGTCTTTGTTAATCATAAAATTACGTCTGTCTTATTATGAAATTATGTATGGATATTTTTTGTCTGTTAAAAGCTTAAACATTACTCATACACTGCTTAAATTTTCAAGACACGGATTTATTTATCCGCCATGTGATATTGATATATGTTACATATGTGTTACCTGTCGCTGTAGATATATTGTAATTAAAGAATTAAACAAACTTTTTTTTCTCTTTGACACTTATATATATATTGCTGCGGAATTAAATTTCTTTTCTTCGATTCAAATAAATGTCGTAAATCATTTGCATTTCGTACTCATCAGACTACTGACACAGACTTAACTGACGTCATATTAACATGCAAGCATGCACATTAAAATTCCACGGTTTTGTTGACAAAGGAACTCCTGTTTCCGAATAAGTCATTCTGATGATTTTTCATAATCATAAGAAGACAAATTAAGTGGAAGCGGGCGTCGTTTTAATTTAAATATATGATTAATACGACAACGTAAACCAAAGATGGAGTAATCATGCAAGCTTGGCACACGACATTGTGGAATCAGTCGGCTAGTGCACGCCACATGTGATTAGCGAGACACATGTCAACGTCGTGGGCACGACGGGAACGACTTTCCGAATATATAATTATGGATGGTAAAATAAAAACCTATAGAAGTACTTTATCACATTGTTTTGTTCCAAATTTAAAGCATCTCATCTTAGCATACATTTTGTAAAAAAAATAAGTTTTATTGTATTAAGTTTGATTTATTTACATTGTTTGTCATTGTGCTGCGTAAATGTTTCCTATTTTCTTGGTTTCTGCATATTTTAATTAACTATTTCCTAACATGTATATATTGTGAATATCTCATTGTATATCTTTATCCTAAAACGAAATACCATCATGTAAAAAAACATAGACTCTAGCATCTTAAGTAGGCTTTTAGATACCTAAGATGTTAGGGATAGAACAATATTATCATTGATACAAATTTGGTAAAAATGTCTGCGGTAAACGATGATTTATACAATGAAGTACATAAATCACATACACAAATATACATAAAAAAGGAACATAAGTAATCATGAGCTTGACATCCATTGTGGCAACTATTTATGCACGTAATTTCGGAATTCATTAAAAAACGAAACACGCTTTTGTTAAACAAAATAATATATAAAAGATTAAGCAGTATTCTGCCAAGTTACGTATTTTAGCTGGTAAACAACATCAGTAAAATACATTAGCATGGTATACGTGAGAAAATGATACATTTCGTTTAAAATGACCCTAGTTATAACATCAATACGTGTATAACGGATCATAACCAATTACATAAACAAATTTTCTCTCGTGAGGTAACATTATGATGATGTAACAGTCTTATTAATCACATAAATTATGTATTCCTATCACGAATGTCCATGCTAGTTAAAATTCAATTTTTGCGCTGATCTCATCCAGAGAAGTCCGGTGATTACGCTTTCTCACGTTCTCTGCACACGTGAAATGTGTGAGCGTAACCCCTAGTATTGTGAGGACAACTTTTCCTATGTCTTTGATGGATATCAAACGAATCGTGCTGCACCGTGAGGAAATGACAGCCTTTGCAGTCGGGTGCTACTCATTTGTAATCTTCAACGAACATGTATCCGCCTAGCGATTGTTCACATTTTTATACACAATGTTTTACAAAAATGTAGTACCTGAAACCAATTGAATTGCCTACCGAACTTTCGTTTTTTATGACATATCCGACGGGTGCAGGAAAGATATCGAAAGCAGAAACCTTGTATTTCGTGGATGACAGTTGGAGGCACGGTAGTCTAGTGGTAGGACGCCGGGCTCGTAGCCGAAGGGTTGCGGGTTCGAGTCACGTCACAGCACTGTGTTGTATCTTTGTACAAGATACTTTACTCCGCTTGTTCTAGTCTACTTAGCTGTAAATGAGTACGTGGTTGGGCAGTACTGGAATTGTTGAATGCAAGTTGTGATCGCCTAAATGGGAGCACCAGGGAGTTGAGAAAGGTATTGGCTGATTGCGAAGGACCTGTAACCACCGGTAATAATTTGTGAACCGCTTTGAGACGACCTTCGAACTAAGTTGTGATAAAGCAGTATATAAGAACCTCGAATTTTATTATTACTTGTTGCTTTACAATGCGTATACAATGAGCCATGATATAGCACCTGTGTTCATACTAACACCTGGACGATGTACACCTGGGCGTGGTTTCTATATTTTACAATAAGCCACTTATATCATCATACCATTAAGCTGTAAGGTTAACTAATTCACATACGTACTATGAACTAGCAAATATGTAGTGTTACTTGTGAACCTAAATGAACATTTACAGATCAGCAGCGTTAGAAAATAATTAACAAATTTGTCATGCTCAAAACCTTTAAGTTCTAACTATAATAGAAGTTGACTAATCAGATGTTTTTAATGAAAAAGTTGTAATAATGGAGTGTAGGATGAAATAATTGAATACCCACCTGTATGACGCTTTACAATGACTCAGCAGTTGGATATTATCATTTATGATTTCAATTTTGTTATTAATTTATTACCGTGATCAATCTTTGGATTCATGTGTTTCCTTAAAATAACTAGGATTTACTTTTTATATCCCAAATAATGATATAACATGTTCTAGATATGTCAGTAATTCAGTTTTCAGTTGACAGGTGTATCATATGCATACTTAATGTACTGGCTTCTTTGGTATGGTTTGCATAGAGTTGAAAATGCAGATGGTATGTTTACATTTAGATGAATTATGTATCAGGACATCTTTATTTATCAATCGTATTAATTGATCTATTGATATCAGTTTAAAAAAAAAGCTGGACTGTATAGAATGAAAAGAACATAAAAACACTTTTTTAAAATGTCACAATATTTTGTATGGTGTGTATCACTTGCGTATATATACTAGCGGAAAAAAGAAACTGTGCATGGCTTAAATGTGTGATATAAATAAATGTGTATGACGTAGAACAACAAGGTTTTCAGGGACAATTTCTTTTGTTATTTATTAACAGTTGCATTCCATTTTCCACGTTATGGAATCAATAAGTTCCGCTCAGGAGCGACGTAAACACAGCAGGGGTCAATACTGAGTTCACAAAGTTAATACCTCGTATGTCCACCGTTTGCCTGAATGCAAGCCTGGCAACGTCGACGCATGGAGCCTATCAGACGGTTCAAGAATGCTTGTGAGATTCCAGATCTGTACCAACGCTGCAGCCAAATCAGCAAACGTCACCGGTTGATTAGGAAATGCCCGTAATCTGCGCTTCATTTAATCCCAGACGTGTTAAATGGGCGACAGATCGGGGGATACAGTAGGCCAGGGTAACACGTCAACGTTCTGCTGGGCCAGAAAGTCCATAGCGACACGAGCTGTGTGTGGCCTGGCGTTGTCCTGCTGTAGCGTAATGTGACGTTGCTGCCCTTGCACGAATGGAACGACGTGGGTCCGGAGGATCTCGTCACGGTAACGTAGCGCGTTCAAATTCCCGTTAACAACCACCAGAGGCGTTCTCCCGTTGGCTGTGATGCCGCCCCAAATCATACCGCTGCCTCCGCCGAAAGAACGTCGTTGTATCACACACGCGTCACGGAAACGTTCTCTATCGTGACGATACACTCTGGAACGGCCGTCACTACTATCCAGGTGGACTCGCGATTCTTCCGTTAACAAAATGCCTGCCCAATCCCGTCGAGTAAATCGGAGATGCCTTCTGCACCAGTCCAGACGTGCTACACGATGACGTGGCGCAAGAACTGGGCGGATTGCAGGACGTCGTGGACGGATAGCTCGTTCACGCAATCGGTTCCGTACAGTTATCGGGCGTATTGGTAGCAACCCAGGGATTGCCCGTGCAGTCAAACTTGCCGTTTCGAAGCGATTTCTCAAATGGACAAGCAGAATATGGTTGTCCTGTTGACGTGACGTCATACGTGGACGTCCCGTACGAGGTCGATCGCCGACGTGGCCAAACTGTTGATGTCGTCTCCATAAATCCCGGATTGTGATTCGATGGACATGAAAACGTGTAGAGACAACGGCTTGGCCCATACCAGCTTGAAGCATACCAATAATTCGGAGGCGGTCATTTTCATTGAGCCTTGGCATAGCATTAATCACAAATTAAAACGTTATGATGCTGTTTTTACTGTTCACTGGTCTCAACAGGGTGACCCATCAGTTAAAAAATAAACTTTCATTGTCGAATTGGATGGCTGGACGAGAAAAACGTGCAACCTGGTCAACGCCTATAGAGAGCAAACTGCACGGGAAAAACTGTCAATGACACACGGATAGTGTGTATGTGTCATACTCGGTCATGTGAGTGAATTTTCATGTATATACAGTTGGTAATACATGTTCTATCCATGTTCTATAACAATTCTCCGCATGCACAGTTTCTTTTTTCCGCTAGTATATGATGGATTTAAAATATTTAGAAATTGAAAATTCATATTCTTTGTATCATGTTTAATTCGTAATATTTAGTGATGTAATGTAATTGAGATCATAGGACATACATGTACATAATGTACATTATTATGTAACTCGAAATATAATCTGGATTATTTTTGTTGATTTCGTAGTTCATCCGGGGGTTACTTGGAACAATATTATTTAAAATGAGGACATTTGACTGTGTTCGACTTAAGAGGTTAATGTGCACAATATATACGTTTCATTACAACGTAATTGTACATGATATAGTCCATGCCATTTTTATTGCTGGGTGGAATATATCACAAGAATTTGGTAGAATTTAATGAATTAACTTTCGTGAGTGTATTATGGTATTCTGCCGTTATACATTTACGGAAATTCACTAACTTAATTCTACCATTGTATATAGCTGCAAAAACAACAACAGTGAATGCAAACATTACCTTAACTATACAAAGGGGCATTACCATGGGTAAACATGTAAATGTAACATGGTTTAATATCCTATAGATATCAGTTAATAATAATAAAAATAAGCTGAAATGTATTCAATAAAAAGAAACAAAATCAATTAATAACCATAGGTTTCACAATGTCCTTATGGGATATATCACTTGCGAATATCTTTTTATGAATATTAAAATTTTAGGAACTATATTTAATCTGACATCCAGTTTCATGTCGAGTGTGTCTTATACATACAGTAATAATAAA